CCCGTTAATACGACCACCCCGTTAATACGGCCACCCCGTTAATACGGCCACCCCGTTAATACGGCCACCCCGTTAATACGACCACCCCGTTGATACGGCCACCCCGTTAATAACGCCACCCTGTTAATACGACCAACTTTTTGTGGCCCGTTGGTGACCGGACTAACGGGGTTCCACTGTATGCGTTTCGAAACGTAAACGTATTAGTGTGGTCCTTGAACTCCCAGTAATCCTCTCGAGTGTAACTTGAACTTCCTCAAATGAGGAGACAAAATAAAGAGGGACAAGAAAAAGAACTACAAAGTTCCTTGTCAATATCCCTAAAGGTCCTGTCCTGATAAAGAAGGGATGGCGTCACTTTAATCACGGCATGGTCTGGGTTCGATTGCCGGTCCACCTATGGAGTGAGCACTGAAATGTTCCCTTTTTCACAAAATGAATCTAATACTGGACTATAATATCACTACATTGATAGGGTTTGGGTTTAGTGAGACTCAGCCATTACAACCAATGTACACAACAACAGAGAAAAACTATTGACTTTGCGTGACGTCAGGATACGCTCAGAGTTACAGAGGTCTTTGGAACAGCAGGATGTCTCACAATCTGATGCATCAACAATACTCTGACAGTATCGATCAGGATTCCTGCAGTATGTCAAAGATAGACAACCTTTCCTGTATCTGCGTGCCTCCAGAAGTTGGAAAGAGAGCTTAGCGCATCTTGTTCGTGGCTGGCAAGTTTCTTGAATTCGTGCTATGTCACAGCCTTGAAAGGATTCGTTGCTTGAACAAATAAAGCATTCCAGCGATGACGCAGCTGCAAAAAGGTGTCACAACAACTATGTCAGCTATCGACTCATCTATCGGAACTGACTCAAGACAAATTCCTTTAGTGGTTTGTGGACCTGTTGTTGATTGGAAGTTTAGGACACGCGAAAATAGCCATTGAAAATCAATGGTGTGGAAAATGTGGCTGGAACGTTTGTTTTATGACAAAAAAAAAAAATAAATAAATAAAAAAATCTTGTTTGAGCTGTCTGAATGACATTAGATGATATTTTTGGTTTCATGGCGATAGTCGAGGTTCGCAGAGTTGTTCGGTCTCTGTCCTGTCACTGAAAGCGGTCCAACTAAAAAGTTGTGGTTGTGAGAAAACAGTGATTCTTGCTACAATCTTACAATAAGGTCCATTCTAAGATACAGACCCTTACAAGAGATTCTAGAGCAGCCATTGTTAATCAAAATATCGCCTTGCATAACGTAGCTAACTTTGCTTTTTCAACGTAAAGTTAGTCTTGCCAAGAGATCTCCGTCATGTTTAAAGAAATTTGGCCTTGCAGACTTTAAATATTATTCCACGTAAATTTCTGATTTTCAAAACATATCGTGATCATACGCCAGACAAGGAATAGATGTTGATTACTTTTATTGCTACATAGCTCGCCCGAATTTTATAATGCATTTTTGATAAAATGCGTTAAACATTCACTTTTTCCACTCACTGAATCACTGTTTATTAAGTAATACCTTGTGCCTTACCTTTTAACAACAGACCAAGACAAAGTAATCCTACAGAATGGCAGATTAAGACAGCCATGTTCTCAACCTTTGGTTTGACCCCAAAGTAGAAATGATTTGTTGCTCAGCTAGCTATTACGAGGCAAGATTTGATTGACATAACAATAAGCCTTTTGCAACAGCTGGTCACGTGATCGATAATTTCTAAATTAATCACTGAAAAAAAATTCTAGCGCAAAACGCGATGACAATATCGCAATCAAGAATAACATTGAAGACCTTTCGTGGCTGAAGGTCAAAATCACTGAGCTGAATGCGAAGGTAACTGATAATGATAAAGCGCTGTTGGATTCAAACGGACGTCATATTAAATCTGGACACAAAATGCGAGTAAAGAGTTCTGCAGAGTTTGGAATCGATTGATCAAAGAGACTTCGCATGTTTGTTAAAAAGTCGACTTTGATAGAAGTGACCTGGAGTTATTTTTTCCTTGTCGAAAAAAAGTGAGACCCTCCCTCAGCTGGCTACGAACAAAACAGGTTCGGCCTTTCCCAGTCTGTGAAAAAAAAAAATGCTGATGACCCTCCCCTCCGAAGCCTCGTTCCACTACGGCTCCCGCGAGCCCCGCAATAAAATACGCATGCTCCCTTAGCATTAGATGGATTCGTTTACAAACTCGAGATATTTTTAGCCAGGTGATGTAAATTCACTATCAAAACATCAATAATGAAGAGATAAAAGTACTTGATTGAAAGCTGATTGGTAATGATAATCTCACACCCCTGTATGGAATTTGTTAAATTGTCACATTACTGAAAACTTCACAGATTATAATCGAAAACAAGCGTCTGCACATTAAATTTGTTTCAATCCTTCTTTGTGGAGCGAAAAGAAAAGAAACTAAATCAATTAAACGAGTTCTATTATGACCCATGGGATGTATGACTTTGAAAACGAAGCCGTCAAGGATCCTGACTGATTGGGAGCCACCCAATGTGGACCGTGATGCCACAGTCAGCAGATATATGGAACAGACACTTTGCTATTATAAATTACTGTGGCCATCTCAGTGGGTTCCGTGTCAACGTGTTGTGATAATCAACATTCCACTGCTCACTTCTCTACGTAAACGTTCACAATTTCCAGCAGTCTGGTTCGCGATGAGACTTTCATTCAGGCTTGCCGCTTCTTTTTTGCTTGTAAGCGTTTTTGCTTTGTGTGGTAAGTACTCCTTGAACTCTCACTCGCTCAGTCTCACCAAATTTTAAATCTCTATAAAACTTGACGAGGCATGACGACGCATTTCGTGCTTCACCCGCCGATTGTTGTTGCCCGGTTTTTCTCTTAACCTATAGCTGAGTACTTAAGTGAGTACTTACTGAATCTGATAGAGTGCCAATAATCAATCCCATTGCAGAACCCAACAAAAATAATCCCGCTATTGTAAACCGGTCGTTGTGGCTAATGTATACATAAACTCGCTCGCCCTGCAGTTCGTCTGTCTAGCCTGTATGTATTTTTTTGGCTCATCTTCAGCTGCCGGTAAATGCCGGTAAAGTTTTAAGGAGTTTCCGTTGTCAGTTGTGAGCAATGTCAGTCACTTACAGGATTACGATTTTCAAAATTTTGAAGTTATGTATGGATAGTCTCAAATGTATCACTGTAGCGCTGGTTCTGTGGAAACATTTATAAAATAATCAACACAGAGACAGTTTCGGAATTTCGATTATTTTAATTTTTCAAATCGCTAGAAGAAAAATTAATTTTATCCCCGTCTGTTTGTAAATCGATATGATTCACAGTTTATGTTTAAAAGTATTGTAATACTCCTTAAATTCGCTGGGTAGCGTGAGATTTCGTCGGATTTTTTCCGTCATCCGCTTGGAACGCGTATTTTTAAAACAAGGTGTAAAACTAATTTGACAGATTAGACTCTGTGTTACCTTATCAGGTGGTGACCTCTAACTGAATGCAGTAACAACATCAGCCAACAAACCATGGAATATAGCGCTTTTTTGTTGCTTTAAACTGAAAAAGAAGCGTCCTGTGATAATTGTATTATTAGTGATAATCTAGCCTGTTTAACTGTACGAGCTGGAGGATGCTAAATCATCGTAACACTGACCGGTTTTTGAACAAACAGGCCAAAGATGATGGACGGCCGGGCGGATTGTAGGAAGGTCACCACTTGGCGCTGCTTGTTAGGCAACAATACGATGCTAATACAGTGTACATGGATCAGGCAGTAGGCGTGTACAGCATACCTCCCTCCAGTAATCATGCTTTTTGTACATGTTTTACTAAAATTGTCGGGAAAATATAAGAACTCCGAAGGTTGTGGTGATAAACAGCTTTATATCTGGATGGAGCACACGCCGAATAGGTAGAGTTAGCGTACATGACCTCACAAGCATGTAGCAGCAGGCACCACGCTAACACAAGAGGGTTCACGCAAACTCTTCCTATAGCTTGAGTTCTCCCTTCTTGGGGGACACTTGACCAATCTTTGGGTATAAGGGGACCCCTGCTGGTTTGAAACCTTGGCCTTGTTTAGGGCAAAAAAACGTACAACACACACCCCATGCATGAAGGATATCACCCTTTATTCTAGATCCCTGTTTAGGACAAAGAACTGAGTGGAATTCAAGGATGCTGATAACAATAAATTTTATTATCTTAAAATTATCTGATTTTGACAATACTGACTTGCTAAATACTGGCAAACGTCTCCGATCTCGTATTGCTGAGTACAACATAACTCATGTGTAACGACGACAATCAAGCAAAGATACCCTGCACTAGACAGGTTCACACTCTCAGACCATCACATAGAATTATACACCGTGTTTAGGAGAGCGAAGTCAAAACCCGAACCCTGTCCGGCCGAACGTCCCCATGAGGGGACCACATACGGGTCAAATATCAACATTTTTGTATTAGATGTATTTAAAATCCCATTTTCCAGTGCCTCATATGCATTCTTAAATACTTTTACTTGGTCTAATTGACCGCTATTCTACACGTCACTACGGCCTTCAATTTTTTTCTTTCAGTTTTTCTTTTTTTCTGTTTAACCTCCTGCAAGTAAGAATCATTATAATCCCCTTTTATCAGTCCCTCTTTCATTCAGTCCAACGTACTTCTCAGTCTTATCTCTGATTCCTACTTGTTTTAAGCAGTTGACATGTCTGGTAACTCATCTTTTGTCAGAAGAATAGTCTGCAAAGCGGAGTGATTGCCGCCGCTGGCTCTTGAGGTTCACGAATTGTGTGAATGCTTCTTGCTTATCCAATTGTGTCTTCTTTTTTCTTGATAGCCTCTGGCCTCAGGTGCAACAGTTGTTCGAGTTTTATTTCCTTTGAAGATTGTTTTAATCAGCGCCAAACGGCCGGAGTTTACTGTGATGAAGATTACAAGTGTGGCAAGTCTCATTACGAGTATAAAGGAAAAGATGTTTATAGCTTGTCGTGTGTGAGTATCACGCACTGCAATAACTCTAGTAACATGTGTCATGCAAACCTGCAGATGAGTGACTGTGACGTGACATGCTGCGGTGAAGACCTTTGTAACACGACCTCAATTCCAGTGGCCAGCGTGTTTTTTGTTTCAGCATGCCTAGCGGAGACGTTTATGATGTCTTTAAAAATGGGATGGTGACAGTCGTTTGCTTCCTTAATTGCCGGTTGATATAGTCTGTTTTGGCAAACATTGGTCGACATTGCCTTTGTGTGTGAGAAAATCATTTGGATTTGTGTTTGCGCTTGCATAACATTTACATAAACTATACAGTTGGTTCCTGATTCCAGGAGTTTGAGGAAGCAATTCCTCCCCGGGGGGGGGGGGG